CCTTAACGTGTTTTTTTCCTAGGGATATGTATAAAGGCAGCCAAAACTAGCCAAAATCAGCCGAAAACAGCCAGGCTGAGGCAAATCACTACCACGGGCGGTGGTGTCATGGCCGGAGCACAACAGTACCGTCGTATCGGAATCCTAAAATTGGCTAAAAAGGATTTTTGACACCGATTTTGGGCTTTTGGGATATTTTTAGGTACGTGAAGTGTGTTTTAATTTTCGTAAAAAAATTTAGAAAATTCAAAGATCACTAGTAGGCACAGTAGAAAGTTCGATTTTTCAAACATCGATTCGGGTAAGAATCTCTCATCATATTCTCTATTATAAAATTGAAGGTTAATAATCAATAATATGGTATTTTGTGAAATTTAAAAAAACTTAAGAATAATTACAGGTCACTAATGGAACCAGAACTAGTTAGTTATTTATTTGTCCTGTTTAACTAATTATTTGAATTTACAGCTTTAAATATATGATAATATATTAGAATGATTAAATGATTCAGTTGTGCTTCTTTGATGTATATATCTCTTATTTTACGTGATTTACAGTTGATTTGTGAAATTTAAAATTAATATGCAAATGAAAAATTGCTTGGGTTATGTGAAATTAATGAATAATTGTCTTATTAGATATCTTGGGAGATGATGGACGGACTGGGTACATAGGAAATCCTACCATGAACGTTACCTCATAACGGACGGGGTATCGAGGGATTGTATTTTTGTGCTCATACCGGACAGGTATGGGGATGACCCGATTCACCCTCATACTAGACGGGGTATTGAAGGATGGTATTTTTGGCACTAATACCAAACAGGATATGGAGATGACCAGTTAGTTGATAAGTTTAGATATTAGGTTCACACGTAATGGTACCCCCTCTATGTGCCCCCAAGTATACTAGTAAGCAAAATAAAAAGAGAAAGTTGTTATTCTTACTCATTTGAATATGAGATCATAATATTATTTGAGTTATTGTCTTTATAGGTCGATTTGGAAATCTTGTAATGGTAAATATGCAATAAATAATTTTCCTTATGATAAATGAATTTACTTAAATTAAGAGTTCCATTGGTTATTTTTATAATTTTCACCAACCATCGATTTTTGTATCGGTGAGTAGTGTGATATTTTTATTGGGTTAGTGTAGGTCACCCCTCACGTATTAACCATTTCATATCAAGAAGACTAAGATCCAGATTCTGATCAGTAAGAGGGCTGTGAATAGGTGTTTCCCTCGAATCCTATCAAGAGTTAATAGAGGTTAACCTCCCTACAATAGTTATTTACTATTTTTGTATGTTATTACATTTTTTGTTTTATGAACCGTTATGAAAGGGTGTAGTTCTATTGGGCATGCTAAGTTATGTATAAGGAATGTAAACCCTAATGTTATTATACGCTTTCGTATATAATTTATAATCATGTTTCTATTTAAGTTCTGATCTTTACATTGTGAGTAATCCACCTCCTGAACTCCCTTTAAGTATTAGTGAAAGTTGCTATCGGATACTTATTTATTCGTTTTTCTTTAATTACCATTTGTCTTTTATGAATCATGTAGAAGAGACATCCTTGTAGTCCTATTGGACAATTCAATTAATCGTGTAAGAAATATAAAGTTTAACGTTATTATTCGCTTCCATATTTAAATTATAAATTCATTTTCTTTAAGATTCCGAGTCTTCATATACTCAAATTAAGTGAAGCAGAATATTATATTAGAAATGAAAATTACACGATTTAAAGTTAAAAAAAAAAAATCAAACAGCATTTATATTTTGATATAATTTGGTAATTTGAGTATATATATCTATCTCAATTTGTGTTCATTCACAATACAGATGCAATGGTGTAGGTTTCATTAAACCCTAACTCGGTGTTGATTTATTTCTTATTTTTTGACTGTTCGAGTTCTCATTGGTTTCTTATTTTTTTTTATTATTAAGTTTTATGGGTTATTTTGTTTGAATTTGATCTAATTAATTCATTATATTAATATTTATAAGAAAAAATAAAAAAAAATATATTATTAATATATATAATAATACACACTAATTATATTTATTAATATAAATATAAATATACATATATTTTATAATATTATATATATATATATCAAATATGAATGGATTTTAGAAAGTTAAACTTGACTCACCTTTTTTTCTTTCAACTCGAACCTAATTCGAACTAAAGATGCACTTTAACTAAAAAATTATAATAAATTAATTCAAAGGAATCAAACTAAACATATTTAAATACAAAATATTATCTCTAATTTATAATTTATAATAGTGTTGAGTTAGATCTACCTCATATTTACTTTTTTAATAATATAAATTCATTTACTCTTAAAAAAGTATATAATTTTTGTCAATAATCTCATACAAATGTACGAGTTCAAAGGTTTTTGTTATGTTACAAGTTTATGAAAATTTATTTTATTAATTTTTAATAAATTAATCTTGTAGTTTAAAGGATATTCTAATAAGATCCAATATCCACGTGTATATTAAATTTTCTTCCTATCTAAAAACAGACAAAATTGATACGAAAATCCAAAATTAAATACAGTTGTAAATATATATATATATATATATGCTTTCTTTAGTTTTATTAGCAACAACTGCCTTCACTAACCACAGTTTTGCTCCATTCTTACCCGTAGTTTTATTACATGCCATCTTCCCAGTTTACAGCTGGTAAAATTAATTTTACTTTTTTTTTTTTTTTTATTTGACCTACCAAAAATTACTGCATGAGACAATCACACCATCTCAGCATATTAACATGGTAACATCATCACATTAAAAATAAATAATCTAGATGTCATCATTCATTATCACTCACGTAAAAGTAAATTTTGATAAATATAATTAATAAATTTTAAATTTTGTTTGTATATTTATAGCAATTAAAACAACTCACTTATATATTTATGAATTAATTGCCTCTTTTAACCATAAATAACAACAATAATTGAAGAAGGTGAATATTTAATTTAAGGAATTCTCTTATTAAATTTATTTTTATATGACAAAACAGGACTATCTGTTATTTATTTTCTATTATTAATAATAAGAATTATTATTATAATTAATGCTATTTAAAATAGTAAAATACCATAACTTATATTACAATTAATATACATGTACCATTTAGTAAAAATAAAGTCAACCCGTGTGAAAAAAGAAGAAGAAGAAGAAGAAGAAGATAGACAAATAAATAAGATAGGGCAAATTATAACCATTCATATGTAATTTAAATGGAATATTAGCATATAATTAATATCTTACATGAACATACATACATATATATATATATATGGTTATGCTAGCTTGCTGATTAACTTTACAAATCAAACATTTACATACATTTTTGGGTTAACTTCCTTATTCTTTTTTTCCATGTTTCTAGATCCAAATCTGCAAATTTTAATAACTTTAGGAATGAATGTTATTTTAAGGAATGAAACTTTTATTAAAATCCTTATCAACTCATTAAAAATAAAATCAGATGAAATCCAAATCATCTTTTAAAATAAAATAAACTCTCATTTTATAAAACTGAAAGTAATAATCCTTAAATGGCAATTTAATTATTAAAAAAATTAAAAAAAATCTCATGATTAAGATTTTGAATCTTTTAAATTTGCTAACTTATTCATTATATCAGTTATAGAGTTCATTTGTTTGACTTTCATGAGGGTAAAATTAACAAAATTGTTAACCATTGACATTTTTTTTTTCTTTGAGTATATCTCAAATATATAGCATGTAGATTTACCAAAATACCCTCTTCCACCAAATTCTTCTATAAATACCAGGTGCAATTCCCCTCTATTCCTCCATCAACAGCAGCTGCCTATAATTCTTCTCAAGCATTCCTTGCAATAATAATTATTCTTCTTCTTTGTGATTTTTGTGGTAAGCAAATTTGCTTTCATTTGTTCTTTTCAAACTCTCTCTTTCTGTATTCTTTTTTGGGTTTAGTCATACTGATTATTTTATGCGTATGTATATGTAGTGCATCATGAATCAATTCAAGGTTGTTGCTCCATATTCAAGCGAAATGAATAGAATGAAAGTTGACAATATCAATATTTTGTTATTGGATGACGATCCTATATGTCTCTCAATTGTTTCAAGAATGATGCATAAGAGTGGATATCAAGGTACGTACGTATTTATATCTGTATATTTTATAAAATTTAAGTAGATTTACATTATTAATTATATATATATGTTTTACTTATGTTTAGATTTAAGTAACACTGAGTCATAGATATAAATTAAAATTAGGTATACAATAAATTTAGTAGAGAAAAGATTTAGACTACCATTTATATGGCACCTTCATTATTTATATATATATATATTTATATAATTAACATAAACTCAAAAAGTAATCATACCTTTGCAGAGCACATCTTAAGAAATACATTGACATAACTGGTACGCAACATGTGTGATTAAAAAATTATACATTCGAAATAAGTAATGAATGAGTATAAATTTAATTATATATCTGTTATATATTTTTAATAAAATTTTATTTTTATTTTTAGTTTTACTTAAATTAATCAAAATTTGATCGTATATAACTAGGGTCATATTTATAATATTTTGGTTTCACATTTAATATTTTGTTAATTAAGTTTTAGTTGTTTCAATTAACACTGAGATTAAGAAAATTAAGTCTGAGTACTGAGTTGATGAGTTGCAGTGATCACTGCAAGACGAGCTGTTGATGCCTTCTGGATATTGCGGGAGAGAGAAAACCGACTGGATCTTGTTCTCGCAGACGACCAGCTGCCCGACATGGACAAATATCAGTTTCTTGAAACTATGGCTCGGGTTTCTCAACTCCCAGTTATTAGTCAGTATATGTAGCCTTTAATTCATCTTCACACACCCACATATATACCATTATATACATACATCTATATATTTTAATTTCTTGATCATAAATAAATATGTGTATATATAGTGATGTCAACGGACCGAGATGAGAATGGCATATTGGGGAGCCTGGACAATGGGGCAGAATTTCACCTGGTGAAGCCACTTACATATAACGATGTAAGAAGCCTTTGGCAATTTTCTGTCCTGAGAAAAATAGAGCTCAATAGGCTGCCTTCCTCTTCTTCCTCTTCTGAAAATGGAATGAGCAGCTCTGCCGCTGAATCTCTCCATATTTTCAATAGCATCAGTCTTGAATCTGATGATGACGAGGAGTCTGATGCTAATCAAAGTGGCTCCAAAAGGAAACAGTCTGAAAACTCCTCCAGCAGAAGCTCAGATGATAACTCTGATCCAAACCTCGTCAAGAAGAACAAGATTGTTAGGACTGATAAGCTGCACAACAAATTCGTGCCCGCTGTTGATTTTCTCGGTGTAGAAGGTTAGTACAGACTTCACTTAATTTCTTCACGTATAAATACATATATATATGTGTGTCAATTTCTGCCATTGACATTGCTTTTGTAATTGCAGGAGTTTTTCCGTCGTCAGGGCTAAAAAAGGAACACACTTCAAGTCATTTACAGGTTTATAATTAATTGTCATCATATACATATATGTTTCAAGCCAACTATGTATAATATTAGTAGGACATGTTCTTGAATATATAATTCTTGAAATTTTTTTACTTTAGTATAAATCCATACATGTATATATGAATCTGAAAATTAAATATACGTATGGACACACTGCACCCATTTATATCACAAGGCCTTTCAAAAAATATATACATATATATATTATATGGTACAGAAATATCTACTATCCTTGAAAAGGGAACAAGATGAAAAGTTCTATATCTCACCCAATGTGTGCTTGTACCAGTTTTCTTCAATCCCGTTGAACATGGGTGGAGGAGGCATTTATCAATTACCCGGATGGGAGAACGGAATTTCAGTAATATTCCATCCCGAAATCAAAAACATCTTCAAAGAGCATAACGTCAATCCGGCGAACTTGCAGGCTGCTGCCTCCGTCGGCCGGCGCTTTGGAGCACCAGCTGCAAATTTCGATGTCCGTCAACTTCCAAGTTCATCACATGCTGCAGCTAACTTTCCTCCAACGTCTTCTCTTACTCAAAACCTGGTAAACTTTTCAAACATGATATATGGTAGTGCTGCAGCTCCTCTCAACTATGGCTATGCGTTGGAGAATGTGGGAAGTGACTATAACGAGAATAAGAATATGATTTATGATAGTAATGATAACAAGAGTAGTACTGGTAGTAATTTGCAGCCTATGAAGGAGAAAGGCCTGGTTATCGGAGAAACCAGTTATAATAATAACAACAATTGGACGATCAGTGGAGGTGATTATTTGGATTATCAGTTGATTGATGAGTCAACTGACTGGCGAGCAATGCTTGAAAGTGTCATGGGAGAAGAACTAATCTCTGTGCCTCAGCCACAGCCTATGCAAGAACAAGTTGCAGCTCACCCGGCGCAGGCTCCCCAGACGCTCCACCCTGCGCCAACGCCACAGATTGCTCAGCCGGAAGCACCACAATTGTCAAACGTTGAGTTTGATATGTTTGGTGCAAATGGCTATGGAGGAGTTGATGGTCTGTTCAATATGCTGACAGTCACAAGCAATTTATTCGATCAGGATTTCAGTGATCTCGTGTAGATGATCTGCAACTTTCCAGTTCAGGTGGGCAGATGATGATGATGGTGGTCGGATGTTTGTTAGACTTTTTCAATTATTAAGAACTTGTTTTTATCAGTCAGCTTCCAATAATGAGCCCGTTGAGGGGTGACGGGTTGAAACTTTATTTGGTTTGTTTGAGTTGTAATTGCTTATGTTTATGAACTATTTGCTTGAAAATTTTAAGGTCTTGTTTTTAAATAATCTTTTAATATTTTTTGTTATCAAATTTAATATCTGTTTATTCGTTATATGTATACATATATGTATGTATGTTTATAGGCCTATATTGTCTGTGTATATGCATGATCATCCTCACACTATAAAAGGTTTTTGTTTTTCTAGAAAATTCTTTTGAAAAATTAAATTTTTGTGTGAAAAAACTCATACTGGAATATTATGAATTTAATAATTTCCCTGTTTAGAGCCACTATGTCTTATTATATGTAAGTTTTTATTTTAATTTTACTTAAAGTAATTAAATTTTAATTAAAAATATAATTTATTATTATATATTATATCATTATTTAATATTTATTATCAAATATTACATTTAAATATTATTTTAAATTATATTATATTTTATTAATTATTACTTAATTAAATTATCAATATGTCTATTTATTATACTTCTATATATATTTTTATTTAGAAACTATTTTTATATAATTGATGTATGTATATAATATAATTAATGAATATATAATTCGATTAAAAAATTATATTTCATTTTAATTAATATTTAAAAATTTTATTAAATAATTTAAATATTTTATAAGATTTTAATTTTTTTTTTTTCAAAAAAGTAAATGAAATTGATAACATGTAAAAAAATAAATGAAATTGATGGCGTAGAAAACTTTCTACCGGCTTTGATTTTGGGCTTATATGAATTTATATATTTATTTCTTCTTGAATTTACAAACGAACATGACCCCTGCACAACTCCGCAAAGCAGCCATCCCGACCTCCGCTACCGGCGCTCAGTCAAGTCACCGGACGGAGAAGACCGACGTCGTTTCCGTTTCAGATTGTCTGCTCTATAAGCCAAGATGATTACCACTCTCAAGGCCCTCAATTCCAGAGGTCGCTTTCCGAGAAAATCTCTCGGCCAGGTCCCTTTCTCATTTCTTTTTCCTTTCCTTGTTTGGTTTCCTGGAAAGTAGATTTGGAATAATTCTGACTGTATTAGCTTAGCCTCGTTCGTTGGGGATAATACTCGAATACTAAGCATGTGTCTGGTTTCGTGTGTTTTTCAGCATTACATGTTGGATTCTGAAATTAACGAGCAGCTTTCTCTTGCGGCTAATGTTAAGCAAGGGGATGTGGTTTTAGAGATTGGACCTGGAACTGGATCTCTGACCAACGTCCTTATAAATGCTGGCACAGTCGTCGATTAATTTTGTACATACCAGAATTCTTTCTAGCTAGAGATTATGTATTGTTTTTCTTGTTCTGTTCTTGTTTTTTTACAGAATTATGCACTCTTTTGAGTTATGTGCTACAGGATCCACACATGGCTGACCTTGTGAGAGAAAGGTTTGCAGGCATAGACCAGTTCAAGGTATATTTTGTGTTTTTGGTTTGAAATTGCTTTTGCTATGCGATCCAAGAAATTGTTTGAGCAATAATAGTTATTACTCAAAAGTTGGATGTGTTGAAACAAGTTCCAGGAAAAAAAAGTATTCAAAACCAAAAAATCTGGCTGGGAAAACCTAGAATCTAATTTTGAAGGAATTTAAATTTTATCCTTTCCAGATTCTCATATCCATTTTGTTTTTTCTTAATGTCCGTTCTCCTGTTAGTAATTGTAGGTAGTGCAGGAGGACTTAACTAAGTCTCACATTAGCTCCCACATGATCATTGTTGGAAAGTAGAAAGCCATTAGCTGCAAACTCAGCCCTTGCTAAAGTGAGAACTTAACTTCCTTGAGGTTATCTATTTTTTTCCTTTATCTTCCTGAATGTGACTAGTGGTTTTGGCCAAGAAGGGGAACCAAAGAAGGAGAAAGAATTTTGAAACAATGGAAGATGGTTAATTTAGTTTTAATCCTGGAACCATGGTCAGTGGTGCGAAGTGCATGCTGGCTTCATATATGTTGGCATCGCTTTAAGAAACCTGAATATGTGCTCGACCTAACTCGATTTTAGATGCAGTACCTTGAGTAACAGATTGCAGTATATGAAAATATTAACTAATTATAATCATGGAGCTAGTTGATTGGAGCATTTTTAACCATTTGAAGAATGCAAGTTCGAGGGTTCGCCGTTTACTATATCTGCAACTAGATAAGGTTCTTTTTGTATTGTATGGTTGAAGTCTAGGTTAACCAACTAGATTGGCATTGAGGCATACTTAACATTTTTAAGTGCGATTTTGTGTCACAATTGTTAACAGTAATTAAAACATGCCCCATGAACCCGAGTTCAACTTTCATACTACCTTTCTCGTCATTAATCCTGAAAATAAATTGCAGTAAATGAGATGCAAATCTAACAACATGCTTTCTTTGGGATAAATGTAACCTTCCTTTGCAGGAATAGAAGTTGTCTTAATTTTTAGTTATGTTGTTGAAAAAACCAGTCGGAGTGGAGAAGTAATATTCTTTTCATACATGATAGCGAGCTAATTCCATGGGACCAGTTGGTTCATCAATGCTGGTAACATTGAAAGACAAAAGAAAGCATTCAAGTACCAATACATGCATTTTGTTCTAAAAACCCAGCCTTATCGATGGGGGATGGAAAATGTGACCAAAGTTGGCCTTCAAGATATATACATCTTGGCATTAAGAAGCTAGGGGTATTACAGCCCTTCCTTACTCGCAAATTGCCTCCACCACAGCTCATTGATTCATATATCTGACTGCCACAGAAACATCTTTACTCAACTGTGACAGGTATGGCATTGCCCTCTCTTTCTCTCTCCTACTCCTTGCTCTTACTCTCTTTTCTCTGTTCTTCTGTTTGCCTTGTGTAGTCGTGTTCCAGTACTTTTTTCTGTTGCCTAGTTGGTTGTGTAACTTAAACCATCTGATGGTAGGGTCTAAATTTAGTCTGTTTGAGTTGTTACTTATGATTTTCAAGCGAATTCTTGGAAAGGATTAGATTAATACACACGAGGTGCTTTGTATATGCATATGAATAACAAACCTATTTCTTTTTTCGTAAAGTTATGATTGTTATTGCTGCATTAGGATGATTATGAGAGTTGGCTTTTCTTTATTTGTGCTTTGATTATGACTCTCTATTCTTTATTTGTGCTTGACATTACTGTTTGTGGTTTGAGTTTCCGAATCATGGAGTTATAATTATAACAGTCTTACTCTATAATTTTGCGCTGTTTAGGGGTGTTGTTACTAATTTCCAAGCAATTGTGATCATTATGGTATGGTTTACTTCCTTAGGCTATGTTAACCAGTTTGTAACCATGCTAATGGAGGACATGATAACTGACTTGAGTTTCATATGGTTGAGTGGCACAACCAACTTATCATCTACCTGAATATAGGTATATATATATATGCACGTATATTGGATTCTTGTTGTTTCACTGAAAAAAACAATGTGTTAATGTTTCTACTAAAGAACTTCATATCATTGTTAGTTTGTTCTCCCATCCTTCCCTCCCCACCCCCTCCCCCCCACCCCGGAAAAAAAAAAAAAGAAAAGAAAAGTCCTTTTTGGATAATGATTATCTATTTTAAAAGAAAAAACTGGTATAAAAATCCTGATAGTCAAGAGGCGTAGGTGATTGACTGTGTAAAGATTTGGCCATTTGATATTACTCAGTGTTCCTTGTTTCCCTTGTATACTTTAAAGGTTTATTATTTTTTTAAACTTCAGTTTTTGTGGTTTTTTTCCTTTTAATGGTTCCGTTTGTAATCTTAGGAAACAATTGCTTATTTTAGTTGAAGGGTTTATACTGTATTAATTTACTTTCTTACTCTAGCTACCATTTAGGAGTCCATATGAAATAGTTCTTATTCTGTTTTTTTAATTATCTTTTTAATCTCAAAAAGAAATATGTTCATTTGCTTTTTATTTTTCCATTTTTGTTGAAGTCCCTATTCATTTAGTGACTATTAAGAGTTCTACAGGAAGTACCGAACTACTTGGGATGCCTGTCCTGAACGCAAAAGGGGAGGCCAAAGTGCTGTCTGCACAGATAAATAATGATGGTCTTGTTGATGCTTGCATTACATCTGATAGTGATGCATTCCTCTTTGGAGCTAAATGCATGATAAAACAGGCCCAATTCAAAAGTAAGGCGTAACCTGTTAACTTATTTCAGTAGACTTAAACAATTCTTTTATTTATTTATTTATTTTGCTTTGATGTACACATTCGTCCAAATTACTGCATTTTCGTCCATGAATATGGATGAAAATTAATACAGCATCAACCAAAACTGAGATGATTTATTTGCTGTTAGTCAGCACTATTAGGGATTCATACATGATTATGGTTGTGAATATCGATGTTATGCTGTTACTCTTGCTAATGCAGTATGAGAAGATATTAAAATGGGAGAATTGTAGTGACTTAAGAAATATTTTTCAATTATTATGATATCTTAGTATTTTTAAATTATTTATATTATTTAGGAATACTAGTTAGATTTAGAAACTTATTATTTTATCTTCTTTAGTTTTATATTTTCGTTATTGGTAGCAATTATTGCTACAAAAAGGCTAGTACCTAGAGAATAGGACCCAAAATAAATAGAGAATTATTTGCTAGGCTTGCAATCCTATTTTCTCACTTCTCTATGTTGTATGTTGACTGCCTACTATTCCCCTTTCTTCTTATTTGTTCATCTTATTCCTTTTCTCCTCTCTATGTTCTCTGTTATGTTAAATGTACGCTATTTTGAGAAAAAATTGTTTTAAGGTGATGATATGGCAATTATTGTTGTTTTTTAACTAATTATTTATTTCCATCCTTTGAACATCCTTCTCTTTCAGTTTTAATTATAATCCATTGGTGTTTGTTATGCACTCTTGTGAATGGTATTCAAAACTATATTGCTTTTTATAGTTGGCTCTTTACATTTGGCGTGCGTGAGAATCTCATGTCAGCAGGAACTATTTGAATGCTACTGTATGCGAGATATTAAAGTTGGTCTTGGGCTGAAGAGGAAGCATTTGATAGCCATCTCACTTTTGGTTGGAAATGACCATGACCTACATGGGGTGCAAGGAATTGGGCTTGATACAGCTCTTCAGTTTGTTGAAAATTTTAGTAACGAGGAGATATTGGATAGGTGTGCCTCTAAGCTGGATTTAGATATCAGATCTTTTTATTCTTTTTGTGTAATAGTTTTCAATATGGATTTTGGGTGAATATAGTTACAACTTCTCTTAGAAAAGGAAAATTCTATGCAGATTATGTGAAATAGGCCAGGGCATTACACTAATAGGCTAGGGCCTACTTAAGTCTTTAAATGATGTCAAGCACGGTTCAGAAGAGAGCTTGCAAAATGCAAGATCTTCTCATTGTTCCTTTTGTGGGCATCCTGGCAACAAGAGAGCACATTTCAAGTTTTCTTGTGAATATTGTGATCCTGGTATTGACGGTTGTATATAATAGAATTCTGCAGGGATATTAATCCATTATTTCTGTTTTTCTAGAGAAATATGCATATGCATATGGGTTGTTTTTGTTGGATTTTTATACAGGCATTTGTTTGGTGTTCATTTAAGATTCTGGTTATTTCTTTATATGATAATAAATATTTGTTTAGACACAGTAAAAGATGGCTGCTGTATATCATGGAAAAAACACATAATTTTTTGTTGTTTCTTTGTATGATATCACTATTTTTGTTTAGATGGAGCAACTGATGCCCATTCTATATTGTATATTTTTATATGATTTAGTAATTTGTGTAGATTGTATCCACTTCAGTCTGTGTCTAACTTACTGATGTACGCAGGTAGATTTGTGTACTAAGTCGGGTATGGAAAGACTTCATAATGTCAAACCCACCCGTTTCAATCCATTTTTTCTTTTTATTAATTTTAACATGACTTGAACTGAACTTATACTTTAATAAAAAAAAATCTTAGTAGATTAGTTTGATTGAATTAAATTAAGTGAATTTGAAGACAATATCTTATTACTAGTGTACAAATGTATTGAGTTATAATACCCACAGTTTTATCACATACTATATTTGTAGTTTACAGCTAGTAAAATTAATTTTACCTTTTTTATTTGACTTACCAAAAATTACTGTGTGAGATTATCAAATTAAAAATAAATCATCGTCTAAAGGTCATGTCACCATTGATAATCGCTCATTTAAAAATAAAAGTTTAATAAAATAATTAACAAATCTTAAATTTTATTTTTATATTTATAACAATTAAAATCAATTAATTGACAGTTGTATTTATATATCAACTAATTTTTATTTATAACCATTAAAAGAATAAATTGATAATTACATTTATATATCAATGAATAAATTACCTCCTTTAATCATACATAACAATTATTGAAGAAGGTGATTATTTAATTTAGGGAATTCTCTTATTATTAAGTTTATTTTCTATATAACAAATTTGAATGATTTATTACTTATTTTCTATTATTATTGTCTCATATTTTTTATAATATTCTGTCAGAAGGTTGTTATTATTATAATGAGTCACTAATTAAAAAATAGTAAAACTTCATATTACTTACTCTATCATATGTAAACACCATAATTTATACTATAATTAGTATGTATATATATATATATATTATGTAGTAAAAATGAAATTAACCTGTGAGGGGAAAAAAAAAAGAAGAATCAAATAATAAGATACTGCAAATTATGACCATTCATATGTAATTTAAATGGAATAATAGTATATAATTGGTATCCTATATACATATATGGTTGTGCTAGCTTGCTGGTTACCTTTACAAGTCAAACATTTATCTACATTTTTTGAAATGAATATTGATATAGGAAATGAAAATTTAATTAAAATCCTTATCTAGTAAGTAAAAGTGAAACATAAAATAAAATCCATGACAAGGATTTTGTTTTGCTGACTTTTTGGGAAGCCATTCAATGCATTCAAACCTCTCATTTGGTAAAACTGAAAATAATAATCCTTAAATGGCAACTTAATTAAAACAAAATCATGTTATTAAGATTTTACATCCTCTAAATAGCGTAACTTATTATTAATCATGTTAGTTATGGAATTCATTTATGAAATTTTCAAGAGAGTAAACTTTTTATCAAAATTGTTGACCAATGACATTTTTTTTTCTTTGATCTGCATTTCTATCTGAGTATATCTCAACTACTTTCTTCCACCAATTTTTTTTATAAATACCAAATCCAATCCCTCTCTACTATTCCATCAATGACCTGCTAGCAATAATTTTTCCTCAGCAATTTTTGTGGTAAAGAAACATACTTTTATATGTTCATTTCAAGTTCTTTTAATCTCTCCTCATGTGTTTTTTTTTTTATTAATTATACTAATTCTTTTATATGTATATATACTTACATATATCTACATATTTTTTTTATATACAGTACATCATGAACCGATTCATGGCCGTTACTCCATATTCAAGTGAATATAATGGGATGAAAGTTGATAACATCAATGTTTTGTTATTGGATAATGATCCTGTATGTCTCTCAATTGTCGCAAGAATGATGCATGAAGGTGGATATAAAGGTATATATGTATTTATATATGTATATATTAAAGAATTTCAGTAGATCTATATTTTTAGTTATGTATACATATTTTACTAATGCTTAATAATATACTTAAGTGTCACTAAATGATAGATGTAGATTAAAGTTGAAAGCATAATTTTCAAATGTCGTTTAAAGTTATATTATTAATAATGAACATTAATGCATAAGTTAATTTCTAGTTATACTAAATTTTTTATACATATATATGGGGAGTAATCTTTTGATTTTTATATTCTCACGTGTTTATTGACAGTTTAAATTTTTTTATATATACATATGAGAGTAATTTTTTAATCTTTATATTTTTACTTGTTTGTGGACATTTCAAAATTTTCTATGTATACAGATGAGAATAATCTTTTGATCTTTGTATTCTCGTTTGTTTGTTGACATTTTAAAATTTTTTTATCTATAGACACATGGAAGTAATCTTTTAATCTTTATATTGCTACGTATTTTTTAATATTTTAAAAATTTGTTATCAATATAAATAGGAATAATCTTTTGATAGTAGTTCATACATATAAATTGTTATGTTCTGTTGTATCGTGTTTAAATAAATAAAATATTAAATTAAAATAATTCCCCAAACTAATGATATACAATGAATTTGATAACTAATGATATGAACTATCATTTATAGCATGTCCATTATCTATATAATGCAAACACAATGAAATCAGACCATGTACATTTATGTGATTAACATATACAGAAAATACAATCACACTTCACATCTTAAGAAATGCATAGGCAAGGCAAACACCATTTACCATTCAAGGTCAGCATAAGATTAGGTTATCAAATCTAAAATAAAATAAATAAAGACTCATAATTAATATAATATGTAGTATGTATGAGTAAAAAGTTATATACCCGGAAATGGTAAGTGACAAACATAAAATTAATAATATGTCTTTTTGCATTTTCTTATCCTGTTTATATCTATTATAAATATATGATTATATTTATAATGTTATCTTATATTTATTATTAATTATATTGCATTTTAAATATTACGTTAAATTATATTTTGTTTTCATTTAACAATTAGGATTTTCTTAATTAAGTTTTAATTGTTTTGATTAACATTAAAATTAAGAAAATTAAGTCTTGAGTACTGAGATGATGAGTTGCAGTGATCACTGCAAGACGAGCTGCTGATGCCTTCTGGATATTGCGGGAGAGAGAAAACCGACTGGATCTTGTTCTCGCAGACGCCCAGCTGCCCGACATGGACAAATATCAATTTCTTGAAACTATGGCTCGGGTTTCTCAACTCCCAGTTATTAGTCAGTATATATAGCCTTTGATTCATCTTCACACACCCACATATATACCATTATATACATACATCTATATATTTTAATTTCTTGATCATAAATAAATATATGTATATATAGTGATGTCAACGGACCCAGATGAGAATGGCATATTGGGGAGCCTGGACAATGGGGCAGAATTTCACCTGGTGAAGCCACTTACATATGACGATGTAAGAATCCTTTGGCAATTTTCTGTCCTGAGGAAAATAGAGCTCAATAGGTTGCCTTCCTCTTCTTCCTCTTCTGAAAATGGAATGAGCAGCTCTGCCGCTGAATCTCTCGATATTTTCAATAGCATCAGTCTTGAATCTGATGATGACGAGGAGTCTGATGCTAATCAAAGTGGCTCCAAAAGGAAACAGCCTGAAAACTCCTCCAGCAGAAACTCAGATGATAACTCTGATTCATCCATTGTCAAGAAGAACAGGATTGTCTGGACTGATGAGCTGCACAACAAATTCGTGCACGCCGTTGATTTTCTTGGTGCAGAAGGTTAGTACCCACTTCACGTAATTTCTTCATGTATTAATACATATATACATATATGTCTGTCAATTTCCGCCATTGACATTGCTTTCGTAATTGCAGAAGCTTTTTCGAAGAATATTCTTCAGCACATGAACGCACCTGGGTTGAGAAAGGAAGACATTTCAAGCCATTTACAGGTTTTTAATTAAGTCTCATCATATACCTATATGTTTCAAGCAAATTATATATAATAGTAGTATAACACATTCTTAAATATTCTTGAAATTTTTTCTCTTTAGTATAAATCCGTATATATATATATATATGTATCTGAAAATTAAATATACGCATAGACACAGTGCACCCATTTATATCACATGGCCTTTCAAAAAACATATACATATATATTATTTGGTGCAAATATATCGACTATGTTTGAAAATGGAACAAGATGAAAAGTTGTAGTCTCACCCAATGTGGGCTTGTACCAGTTTTCTTCAAATCCGATCAACATGGGTGGAGGAGGCATTTATCAATTTCCCGGCTCGCAGAAAGGGATTGCGGTAACTTTCCATCCCGAAATCAATAACATCTTCACAGAGCATAACGTCAGTCCGGCGAACTTGGAGGCTACTAC